TTTTGCGACACTGCCTCAAGACCTATTTCACCTTTGGTAGACAAATGTATGAACAAATGAAAGACCCTCCTATGTGCTCCCCTCTGTCAGGCCTAATTGTCGAAGCAGTTCTTCAACAGTTTTCATCAAGTATCAACCAAAGTTCGCCGTTGTCAAAATCCCTGACATTGAGCACCTAAAAGAACTACTGAACTCGGTTGACTCCGACATCCAATTCACGATGGAAGTAGAAACAAACAACCAAGTGCCGTGTACAAGTGGACAACTGCAAACCACAGTGTTCAGAAAATCCACCGACACCAGGCAAATCCTGCACTTCAACAGCAATCATCCTCTGTCTTACAGACTTAGCTGTGTCCGCACTCTATTCCAGAGAGTCAGAAAACACTGCAACGCTCCGGAATATAAAAGGACCGAACGACCGAGCCCTCAGAACCTCTTTGCATCCCATTGACATCCCAGACATTTTACTGAGAGGAGTAGGCGCCGAGCGCACAGACAACGGCCAAATGACCGATGACCCGAAGTCTGGAGGTCCATTCCATACGTTAAAGGGGTCTCCGAAGAGATATCTCGACTGCTAGGACCTGCCAGAGTAGGCGTAGTCTATCGACACCGAACAACACCAGGGCGCCGTCTGATGCGACCTAAGGACACACCGCCACCCGCTGAAACCTCAACAATCGTAGATAACATAAGTTGCAATGAGGGCGACTGCAACTGTGTTGGGGAAAGCGGGCGGAAATTACAAACCCGTCCACTAGAGCACAAATCGGTGACTCGGAGGCTAGACCAAAAGTCTCAACTAGCAACACACGTTGGAGAAACTGGGCATACTTTCTATCTCCAGAGAGCTACCATCTTAGGCCGTGGCAACACAAAAGCAGAACGGTTAAGACTCGAGGCTTGGTACTCCGATGCCAACTCCATCAACAGGCTTCTAGACCTTCCTGCAGCCTACAAGGTCCTACGTAATCACGTCTGTAGAGTTCAGGACAAAGTAACAACACTGGACTTAAGAAGGTCATACATAGACAGACCGACGGCGAGTCCACTCGGCGAGGAAGAACCACCAGACCGACGATGGTTCAATCGCCTCCCCGCGACGAAGCGGCGACTCACAAAGCACACAAATAAAACGCCCACCAACCATCCACCGAGAGGCCGGGATGGCGAGAGAAGAGAAAAATCGATCAGCATGAGGCTGACCAACGCGACCTGCAACTTGAAATTTCTAATAGCTTACGTGCACTTTACGCCCTGACAGTGGGGAGTCGACCAAGCTCTTCGAAACGTCAGCACCTAAATAAACCCGTTCCGGTGAACCCATCCTCTTCTTCTTTAAATCATCAACCCCGATCTCTCAACTTTGCCAATCAGAGTGAGGAGAAGATTGAAATGCCGTGGAAATGGATTGCACAGAGTCCACCTTACTCTCCCTTTTATCTCTCATGCATCAGTCCAATGTACGAGTCCGTCGAGCAAATGGTGAAGAGTGTGGACTCGTGCGGACCCACTGAGGTCCGGTTAACGTAGACCGATCTAAACTTCAGGTTTGGTTCGGCGCATCTAGAGCGCAGCCCGGAGTCATGTGTACAGCCAAACGTTCACAATAATAACAGACTGGTCAGGCAGGTGTCCACACTGTGGATGGCCAGATGATGCTTCCGGCATCTTGTAAAAATCCAGCGAATGCTAACGATTTGCCTGACGACGTTGTCCTCGCCCTGTCCGTTTGGGAGCGGCTTGAATTTGAAGCTCTTGTAACCGTCGACTTGGAAACCGTTCTTGCCCTCCGGCTGTCACGTTCGAAAGAGAACCGCCAAGCAGTCTCGCCCACCAAGCCCGCGCGCGTCCGCAAATGGCGCTACCTCTAAGTGTCCGCAACGCTAGAGGCGCCCAGAGCTCAACCAATGGGGACACGCGGAGCAGAGAAGAACATAACCCTTGGATACGACGTCATGGACAGAATGATGTACACACAGTGACTGCGGCAGGAAAGTTGTTCTCTGCCACCCTGTTTTCTCTTCCACGTAGTCACTGGCGTCAGGCAACCCTTGATGGAGCCCGTTGATACTGTGGTTTTCATAACGTTTTTGGACAAACAAACTAGTTCATAGACCTCATTTAGTAGGGAGACTACATCCTGTAAGCCAGTAAAACTCGGTGCCATCGGGCCGATATCGCCGAGGTCAGACGGCCGCCACTTAAGAGTAAGCTCGACATCAGCAAGACCGGGTAATGCAAATCAAGGATACAAGTTGATGACGTAGTCAGGTGGGATACAACTTTGTCAGACGCCCAGCCTCGCATTAACCAGTTGTGAAGCTATGGCGAGATGCCAGCAGTAATCTCTGTGGCACACCGTACAGCTCTACCATCAACCATGGACTCACGAAGAGCGGAACCCAGCGTCACACTGGGGTCAACAAAACAGACAGGCGTCGGGCGGAAAGAATACTGCTCCCCATCGTCAACGTTAGTTCAGTGCATCCGCACGCAGCCCAAAATCCAACGTCGTAGGATTTCGTTCTTGTGTCCGGCACGTTTTGAAAACGACCATGAGTGGTGATGATAAGCCTCAGCAACTACGTCAACGAAACTTGCACTGCGGTAGTATCCACGGGTCGTCTTCGCTTCGATCCCCCGTGCAAAAACAAGAACGGTGGAGCATCCATCATCAACAGCGACCCTCACACCTCAGGATCGCTCAAAAGCCATTTGGAGCCAGGACACCAATTCCGACATACACCATGCGGAATCACATGTGGACGCCCTTCTCCCGGACGCTGTTATTGTACAGCCTCCGCATCGAGTCAGCGTCCCCTTTTCCGCTCATTGGAGCTCACGACAGTGCTGATGACTGGCAGGCAACACATTCAAAACTACGAACGCTCAAGGCGGACGAGGATAAGATCAGTGGGTAAGCAGTGAGTGGGCGCTAGGTCTCACAACTTACTGTGCATAATAGAATGCTGCGATTATGCCTCTTTCAAGCGACGAAACCACCGTTGACCAGAGAGGCTGCACTCCTGACTCGCGAATATCTCTGCAGCGAGGCAGACTCAAGATGCACCTGCTCTACTTTTCTTTCTCCCAACAACAAATGGCTAAGGCGGTCCGAGATAGGCGCGGTTGGCAAAGACAATCGGTCCGTGACAGACACGCCCAGGTTACTAAATCACTAAGAATGTGCGGGCTCTCACATAGAGACCACAGCGAGGTGGAGTTATAGCAGTTTGGTTCCCGTTCCAGAGGACCGAATTATTCACTCAGTTGGAAATCTCCAAACCCATGACATTTGGAACATGGTGAAATGTCCAAGTGCGTCATACTTCTGCTGATGAGGAGGGCTAATTCAGGGTCGACCTCACTCTCCCCCTCCCATGCACCAGTGGCCTGTCTGAGCGGACTTCGCAGAGGCTCCGCCTATGGCAGACCACACGCATGCGGTGCGCCCATTTGTGAGTCATGAGCAAGCACCACATGTAGTAACACCGTTAGATGTCGACCACACCCACGTAGGAAGCTATAGGACCGCGGCTGCGGAACAGCCACTGTGTGAGGTTCAGCTTCGCTCCCGCAAGTGGTCGGATACTACTTGCACTTGCTACGGCTGCGATCATGCCTGATCTAGCCGGCATCAATGATGTTACAAACTGTACCTCTCCACGCGTGACGATCTGCGGAAGCAGATCCGGACAGCTCAACCCATAACCTTCGCCAACGACGGAGAGCGAATACCGAAGATCCCAGAACCACCTGCATGTTTTGACGAACTGTGCCGAGCCAGGTTCTGAACCGGCCCCCTCTTCGACGCCTCCAATGGGGCAACGGTGCCGGATCGAGGGCAGCAACACTGAGCTCCTGAGGTGGACGACGAAGAACATGCGTAAACCACCTCAGTCGTCTTTCTTGGATGGCCTGAGTTATCCTTGAGACGTTGTCGCAGCGAGCGCGGACTGTCTCACTTGAGACGAAGTCGGTGAACTTCACTGAAAGGATGGTCCTCAAGCAGTGTTGGTCAAATGCCTCCAGTTTCCGCTCGTCTTCCATGCGCAAAGCCAAGCATTCACAACCGTAGAGAAGGACAGACCGGACAGATGCACGGTACACGCGAATCTTAGTGGCGATGGAGAAATCACGTCGGATCCATAGACATTTCCGAAGGCTTGATAAAACCCAGCGGGCAGCATCGATTCGGGAGACAAGGTCAACCTTACTCTGTCCATTAGGCAGCAGCCTCGCTATGAGGTATTTTAAACTGTCTACTTCTGTAAGTTGACAGCCATCAATCCCGAGGGGTGACTTCTCCTGGTCAGGGATGAAGCTTGAAAACACTTTGGCCTTCTCAGCGTTTATGGATAAACCGACCGATTTAGCGATCTCGTTCACCCGTGACGCCATAGACAGCCAATCACCAAAACTTGAAGAAAGTAAGGCGAGACTTTCGTATGGCATCGGCGACTTCTCCTTTAGAGGGGGGGGTCGCATGGCACTGCATAGGTAGGAGAGGAAAGAAACTCTGCTGAAGAGGAGAGCAAGGGCGAGGTAGGTTGGGTATCGAAGTTGAGATGGGGCATAAAGTGCTCACGTCAGCGCCCGACCTGGCCGAGTTGTCAGCAATAAAGCCGCCGTTCACGTCGCACACAGTCACTCAGTGTAGAGGGTTTACCGCTAACTTGGCGGATCAGTTGGTAGAGCTTTCGAGGGCCATCAACGGATACTATGGGACCGGGGACTAACCAACAGGCCGAAACCCGGTTGACGGCCGACACATCCAAGGCGATAAACTTGACCTTTCACGAGGACAGATGGAGGTGAGGATCTCAACGCTGTGGTGGGCGCTAAGAGAGAGCAAACTGTACATTCCCTCACTGGGTTCATCATAAGGACATAAAAAGGGTGCGTTTCAAAGCATATTCTTTTAATAGACTTAAAAATTGCACAGTAGGAAGAATCACAGATAAAAGGATTAATTGTCATTCTGAATAAATGATTTAGGGTAGTAAAAAGTTCTCGATTTGTTGCAGAGTATCCTTGACCCTAGCCCTGTCAAAAGAAAAAGGAATGCGTTAAGAGTCAAGGAGAAAAGCCAAATTCGAAAAACAAAAATGAGCAACAAAGGTCGCACGTCCTTCTCCTTTGTCTTCCATGGCTTGGTAAATTTAGTCAACAATAACCCCTGTCGGGACTTCAGTTAACAGTCTTTTCTCCTAAGGAAAAATGATTTAAATATCAATCGAGCAAAGTCGGGCTAAATGCCCAGACTTTTTATCAGGGAATTTTTGTGGATAAAATGCTTCAAGTGAAGAAAAAGGATACAGATCCTCCATGAGCTTCGGAACCTCCGACATGGCCTTCGTCAATTCTTCGCATTGGGCCATTGTGGAGTACATGAGCTAAAGAAGAAACGGCGATAGTAAGACGCTAGTCAAAGAGGCAGTCAAAATTAAACGCAAAACATGTTTGCTAGGACTTGCATCCAAAACCGGTGCCTTTCATACTAATCTGTAAATCAGGCCCAGAAAAGGTCCTTCAGAAGAACAACGCGAGAAGCATTGAAGGCAGGTCAATGTTCAGTTAAATCCTAAAAACGCCAGATACGGCCAGAACTTTTCAAGCCAAATGAATATGAGCTCGTGGGAAAAACTGTTCGAGCGGAGCCATTCATGGAAAATTTACTCTAACTTCTGTGCCAAAAGTAAAAATAATAAAAAGAGTACAATTTTTTGTGTTAGATCTATATAATTAAACACAGTAAACTATCTACCGTATATTTGGGCGTTCGATTCGAAGTAGGAAAACAAAGTAGACAGGAAGGGGGGTGGGTTGGAGGCGGGCGCAACATACAGGGCTTCAGTGGACGACTTGCAGGACAGACATTTACGAGGGGGGGGGGGAACGGAGCGACTGGAAAACGCACCCGGATGCTTGCGTCAGCTTCACAGCACGTTTGAGAAACCGAGGCATGGTAGAGGTCAATGCATTCTCTTGAACAGTTGGAAGCCTGAAAATCATTAAAGCGTAAATAACTAGGCCGCGATCAGTGTAGATTTTCTATATACAGTTGATTCCGGTCAGTTAGGTTGGACGTTTACTTGACCAAACGTCGAAAAGAAGAAACTGACCTTATATATGTCGTCATTCCGCCAAACGTGCCCGTGATTGTTTCGAGTCAACGAGACAATGTCCCTTTGGGCAAACAGGGGGACGTGCTGCAGACCGTAAGTTAGATCAAGTGGCCTACACAGATCATGAAGTCCACAGACTAAGTTTGTCGACTAGCCATAAGATCTGGTGAGTGCAGGGTACGTCCTGCGGAATTTTAAAGCCACAGACTGTAAATGGGTCCTCGATAGTTGGTCCACTGTATACCTTAGCTCTTGTATGCTTTTTCCGACAATTTAACCACACACTTGATCTGTTAAGAAAACGCTTGGGTCCAGCGTGACCGGCATTCACTGTATCGTCTACGACTTCCCTCAAAACTACTGTTTAGGATAGAAAATTTGGTAAAAGCACAGCTCACCGTGGTAAGATTGCATTTGAGAGATTCCAGCAGGCAGGACACCCTCGAGGCTAACTGTTTTGCGCTACTTTCTACAGCCAAAATCGCGGAGAAGGCGCCTTGGGCATCCATTGGGAGGCCTAAAAGCATATGAAAGAGGAGTAGCCAGCAGTTACTACGAAAATCACTAAGATACGCATGTAATTCAGAGGTTGGTCCTATTAGCAGCATCGACTTAACGGCGGCTTCGTCCTCATGCGGTCACTAAGACGACTTGTCCTGCAAACCCACAAGACAGTTCAACCTCCCGTTACCGATGATGTCCACCGTGTGCTCCACAGCGCGCTGAGAGCAGGGACTGCGCGTGATTTAAATTGTGGTGATAGGAGGCCTGTGCAGCATTTGCCGAACTCTTCGCCCACCTGGACCTGATGCCATGAAGAAGTCGCAAAAACCGGAGGCAGGGGAGACCGCTGACGGCTAACATGGCGCAAACTCGCACCTAGGCGTACCACCACACGCCCCGGTCCACAACAAGCACTTGACTTGGATTTTAGACAACAACAAATATGAGGAGCGCCGTGGTCTGCAACTGGGCCCGTCACCACACACCGAACGTTGGTATTTGTCATGGGTGGGCATTCCCAATAACGCCCGTCGGACTCAAATTTGGCTCCGTGTTGGTTCAGCGCATCTACCGCGTAGGCCGTTTTAAGGGGTCAAGCAACCATAAAATGCCTAGTTGGCTGCCCCGCGTGTCCACCGGTGTCGGAAAATGCCATCAGCAAGGAATAGTTGCATAATAAGCAGTTGCGCAACAGGGACAGCCGGGCTGGGGTCCAACGAACCGACTACACTATGTAACTGGCGCTATGTGCATGGACCCTTATTAAATAGGCTCTCATTGCAGGCGTTACCGTAGGAGCCAGGGACCTATCAAAGAGCCGTGTCGAGGGGGTAGGTAACACAACTTGTATGAGAGTCCTGGGTCTCAAGGCAGCGCAAAACTTGCAAGCGTAAATGTCGACTCCGCTCGAACTGGTAAATTGGAGCCTTGCAAAGTGAGCGCTGGGTGGAAGTTAACTGCCGATGGATCGCGAAGCATAAAGATATCTTTATGTCGGTCTTTATATCGGTCTAGTTGCTTCGATTGCGATAGCGACGTAAATTAGCCCATTCAACGCGCCATAAAGTGGACAACACCAGGCCAAGTAAGCCGGGATTGGGATGACTAAGGCGAACATACGATAATAACACTTGGTATTGGTATAAGAACGAGTAACCGCAGCTTGCGCATAGCCTGACGTGTTACTATCGCCGATTTCGAAGTATTTCGAAAAATAGATATCTACTCGATATCTGGATCGCGGACAAAATCAGTATCTAACAGATATAAGTATTTCGGAAAATAGATATCTAATAGATGCCGTCTCGATATAGTTTGCTATTAGGGATGAAAGGGCGTTGAGATGTGCTTCCACCTTCAACAGGGTGATATCGCTGATTCCGTGGTTCCACTGTCCGCGTCACAATTGGTACCAATGTCAACGAGAGAGACGGTCTCCAAAATAAGTCTCAGTTAGTAGCCAAGCAGGAAGGGAAGATGCGACGGAGGTTCTCAGTCATTACACAGAGACAGAGAATTGTTTTCCAACCCCGGCACGCTGAAACTCTTAGTCTTTACACTTAACTGTTTCCTACACCTTAGGAGACATCCAATGACCTGGTAATAAACTGATAATTACGCTTAAACCAAACTTGACTGGGCACGGAGCGTCACACTCTAGCGCACGACGCGGCGCCAACACCAACAACAAGAGCACTCGTTATCATGTTCTTATGAGAACTCAATCACCTCATGCGCCTACTCGGTCATATGGGCATTCATGAGGACCTGCGACAAAACACCGCCGGCCACACCACATCACCGCACCTCCCCTTACCGGCATATATACCACACACGAACAATTTTCATATCGTCCACCATAGGCACGGCATTGGCACCTCTCACATTAGCGGGAAGCGTGTTCCCTCGCTCGGCAATTTGGCCTTGAAGGCACTCTTACGCATGCGTGACCCGAACAGCCCACCCCGTGCGAAAACATGATGGGTCGTGGTGGGGGACCGGTTGTGTGTGGTCCGCGTAGATAGACCGTTGTCGGTTTTGTCAGCCACTGCGTCCGATCTCAGTCCTATTTGGTAAACTGGCAGAGACAATCGACTGTTCCACGGGAGAGGGAGGAGAGATCGAGGCCGACTTCAGGGACTTCATTTCCACGGTATATCAGCGCATTCCTCACTATGGCAAGTCGTACGAGCTCAAATCTATCACGGTACGCCGAAAGCCCCGGCCATGAAGGCTGCCAACCGAGGGCATAACTCGGAGAAGTAGGCTGCGATGGCTCCTACCAAACGTGGCCTCTGTTGCACTCTGACTCAGGTGGGATTACAGCCGCCCCCCTCCCCTCCAGTTTGAAAACCTGGCACACTGTGTGCGGATAAAGCGGATAGGCGAGCCGTTTACCCCTGCCAAAAACTGTACCTAAAAATGTTTTCGGTCGTAGTGACTCTGCCATGACACCAGGCCCAGGAGGGTGAGGAGGAGAGAATATGAGGTATGCAGGACAAGTTCGACAGCTGTTGCCGACGATGCCCATCGTGTGCTCCACACCAAGGTGAGAGCAGGGACGGTGACTTGTACGTGAATTAGTTTATAGTGATAGGAGACTTGCACAGCATCTACCGCACTTTATCCTCCTCCCCCACTCGGACCTAATTTGCAGTGAATGAAGACTTACGCTGCACCTACCGCACTCTCCCCCCAAACCTAAACCCGGTATCAAGACAGAGTCAAGAAGACCGGAGGCGAGGGAGGGTACAGGTGTATGGCACGGTCGTGCCCGCACCTCGGTGTTCCACTCCACACCCCCTGATCCACATAGCAAATGACCAGGATTTTAACCAACAACAAATAGGTGGCTGGGACGGTCGGAGCCGTACCATGGCGTGCTGCCACATCTGGCTCGGATATCACGGAGAGGGTCACTGATGCCACATCAGGAGGGAGCCATTGCGGCCTGACTCTTAGACCACCAGCCGTCTGGCCCAGTCGAACTCATACCTCGGCGCACCACTCCTCACCCGTTGGTCTATATAGCAAATGACCAGGATTTTAATAACGAACAATGCGTGGCGACAAAGTTCTCAATGTGCGCGACGTCAGCCGGAAAGTGGGTATGCCACTGCACCCGAAATGTTGGAATTTGCTATGGTGCGCATTCCGTAAAGCCTGCCAGGATCCGGTGGGGGTCCCGTGTTGGTCCAGCGCATCTACCACGTGGCCCGTTTGGGGGGTACCTGTTATAACTATAGAGTAATGCACGCACAGGCCATCGCACCTACGAGCCGCGTTCTGGGACACACAGTAAGCATCTTGGGGATCGAAAGCCGGATCCTCATGAGAATTCACCTACGGCACAGACCGTGTGCATTGAAAAGGCGCGACCTGAATATTTAAGGGACCTCGTCACTCGAAACGGTCCACTATACTGGCGCAAACGAAAACAACCTCTGAGATGTCCTAAGGCGTTAACAACTGGCTCTAAGTGAGATGGGCCCTTTTACGTACCTAATGGGAAATGAGTTGCTACGGCTCGCCTTATCGCACGAAAAAGGTTTTTAGCGAAATCATACGACCGGATGATATTGCAGGGGTGGCTGGCCCTCGTGGCGATATGAACCGCACGTCGCGGTAGGGTCGTAAGGAATTCGGGACGTAAACTATCACAAAGCTCTAACGAGATAGTACGCACCATGGAGACGAGTTAGACCTGTAATTCGTCCGCCTCAAAAATCGAAGACAGCCAGAGCGCGGCTCCAACACAAAACTGCTGGATGGAACCTTCTCTTACAACTGTCGCTCAGTTTGAAAATGCTACAGCCTCCGAGTATGACGCTGACGGCCGTCCACCAGTCAACCAAGAGATCCTCGGTGCGATGAGATGGGAAAGAGGACGAGGAACGTCGTCAGCCATGGCTAACAAGTTACGCAGTTGCAGAGCGCGAACTAGAGCAAAAACTGTGTAACACCTAACATTTCATACGGATAGTCGTCTGGTTGATGGGTGGAGGTGCTATGACGTCCGATAATTATGGCTTCCTCAATTATGAGTCCGAAGTGAGCTTAAATACCTGGTGGTTCTAATTCCAGCCATTCAAGGTATGGACGCATTATACTAACCAAAACCTAATTCGCCGAGTCCATAAATACTTAGCTATAGGGTACTCCGTTAGTTTCGACTATGAAATGAGCGAAAACAACCGTCACGTGGTCCGCGGGAACATGGAACGGGTTACTCCATAGTATCAGTGGAGAACTAGATGGGGAACGTTAATGAACTAAATTTTAGCTCCCTACACTACCCGCCGATGTGGAAAACCACGTCAGATGAAAGCAAGTGCTTAGCCCAGTACAGGATGTACCTCCATTCTGTTTCTTGGACCCTGTGGATACCAATGAAAAGCTGTTTTGTTCGAAAATTTTGCCTCTTTGTGGAACTGATTTAGAAAACAGTTGTCGCACCCATTTGGTTATTCGCAGACACATGCTGTGGCGAATTTGCCTAACATGTGTGAGACAAGATTTTGTGATTTGACAGATTTGATCAACTTGAAGTGACTCAATTTAGAAAACTTGGTGGTCTCTGTGGGATTCGAAACTACGACAGCAATGGCAAGAACTAAGTGCAACCGGCGATCTACCCAAATGAGCTATCATAAGCTGACAGAGAGCTTTGAACTTATTTACAATTGAGCCAAGTCTTCTACTTAATCTGCTGCAACGTATGAAATCCAATTCTGATAGTATACTGACCACTCAAACAACAGTCGGTGAAAACGAACGCACAAGGTATCCAACGTCCCAACCTAATACACAAGAATACATGATGAAATGGGACGGAACGGAGAAGCAGGCTTTTCCTATCTAAAAGTGGCGTCAAAATATCGATGTACAAAACAGCTAGGTAACGTGCTACCATCACAGGTCCCTCACTAGCCACCTTGAACAGTCGTCTGGAGACTCAAAGTGAATGTATGAGCCTCTCAAGTGATATACACGTGAATACAAGGAC